AGCAGGGTATCAGCAGGGCTCATCTATGTGCCTGAATTAAGAGCTCGGTACCCTCGGGGAGAGGCTGATGCCTCCAGAGGATGAGTAAGATGCAAGAGCTCGGAGCTCAAAGATGGTTCATTTGGCTGCTCCTGCTGCAGGGAGCTACCGGCAGGGCAGGCACCGCTGCCCAGTGCCCAGGTAAAAGCCACATTCTGCTGGAAAAAGGGGCAGATTCACAGCAGTTAATTTAAAGGCCAAAATCGTTTTAGGAATATTGCGATTACCCGACGAGCAGTCACTATACCACTGAGAAGGGGAAGATTTAACATAAATCTGAATTTTACTATAGCTTTAAAAGGCTTGTAAGCAATTGTAAGTGTCCTATAGAGAGGTTAAGGAAAAACAAAAGGAAAAAAAGCCAGCTCCAACAGCCCATTTGTTATTAATCTCGGCTGCCTGGTTACGATCAGATAGCTAAAGGTCAAAGTCTCTTCAGTGTCTTCATGACATCCACGGTTATATCTCCTTCTTGTCAATATATAAATGTCAGACGTGCCACTCCCCAGTGTATTTCATTAAGCGCTATTATATGTATATTAAAAGGTGGCAGCAAGAGTTTCCTCTGTGAAAACTGTGGAATTTCCAGTCTCCCGTCTTCCTAGAAGTGACTTGGATGGTGGCTATGAGGGATAGCATGAACTGAGGGATAGTAACACAGGGCAGAGCTAACGCTCATGTGGAAACCCAGCCCCACAGACAAGCTGCTCCTGGCCTCACTTCCAGGGCCTTCGCAGTGACCACAGCCAGGTTTTCTCACTGATCCACCTAACTTTTGTTCTCTTCTTCTTCTTTTCTGGCACTGCTGGTTTTCAGCTGGAGCAGGGAGCAAACCCTGCAGATTCCAAGGCTGAGCAATGAGGGCTCGTGCAAGGAGGGCCACAGCAACCACAAGGGAGGACAGGCCTCCCCACGCGCCACGCACGTCCTGGAGCAAGTGCTCAAGGTTACTACAAAATCCCTCTCCTAGGCATGGAGCTGAGAAAAAAGGTTTTGTTTGCTGTAGTGAGCAATAAGGGAAATTTAGCACTGTAGATGTTTGTCTTCCTTTTCAGGAGAAACTGGACTTTTCATTTGAGGGGATATTTCAGTTTTGTTATTATTCTGTTCCTATTTGCAGTGTTGCATTTAGCCAATGAAACATGTGACATTCATTAATGAAAGAAGAACCAACCAAAGTATTCTTTCTGTCCCATTACAAAATTGAGTTTGAAAGATTTATGAGCTTGTTCAGTACCTGAAGAAAAGCAGTTGTTCTAATCTGTGTTGCAAAGCACGGCTGGGCAATCAGTCCATCTCCCAGAGACAACGCTGGTGAACAACAAGTGTTAAAGGAGAAATATATATAATGTTATGAAACAAAAGAAAATCTCTCACTTTCAACAGGTTTACATTTTTTTAATGTTTATTGGCTTAAAACTCTCTTAGATCATGAGCAGAGAGGAGAGGGTTCCCAACACGCACAGGCTGTTTTAAAACTCTGCATCTTTTCAACAAGTACTACACAGATGAGCAACAGCAGCTGAAAGGCTTTTGAGACTGACGTGAACTGAGCTACAAGGATATAAAAAGCTCTCTACAGCACCTCTGCCTAGCTGGACGTTAGCTGGTTTCTCCTGAATTTATTTCCTTAATATGGCAATGTTGTTTTACATGCCTCAGTGGATTAATTATTCCTCTCTCCGTTAGCTGCGAATAAGGTGGAGGAAAAACTCAGAATTCATCATTTTTGCTTTCTTTTTCCACTCGCTGTCCGTTCGCCCAGAGCTGTTATGCAAACAGAATTACATCCCAATTGTCAAAACCAGTTAAAATATTGTTACATTCATGGAGCATAAAAGATTGCAAAAAGCTGGCAAAGCAGGAATATGAATAAGCAATAGACAAGTATGAAAAATGTAACAAATACGTAATGAACGATGCCGCTCTCACTACAACTCATATCAGTGTTTAAGCTTCAGAAAAACAATCCACCTCAAAAAAGATAAAAAGGAGGTTTCTGTGCCCCTACAGATCCGTGGCTGTGTGTCTCTGTAAGCGAGACAAGCTGATCAGACGCCCGAGGTGCCCGGTCTCTGTTTGGAAGGCACCGCGGCGCTGGGAGGCAGGAGCTGAGGGGGACGCACCGTGCGGGGATCGCTCGCGGCCACGGCCGCCCCGCAGCGCCGGCGACAACGGGACGCGGATCCCGTTATCCGCGGCGGGGGCTGCTGTGACGCTGCGCAGAGCGCAACGGCCAACGTGGAATCCCCAATGAATTTATTCAAAAGGAAAATAAATCGCAGTAACAGTGTTAGGTTTGGGAAGGGGAGGGGTTTTTTAATGTTTACTTCTCAGGAGAGACGCTGAGATATTAAGATGATGAGTGACTTTGTGAAAAATCAGAAAGACCACGGATGCTTAGAGTGCTGCCATTTATAGAGTATCATCTTCTGCACAAAGATGCTAGATAACTTAAGGAGCATGAATGGACCAAGCTTTTCCACTGCCTGTTAGGATCAGATAGCAAAATAATGTTCACATTAAAGGTAAAGTAAGATATTTTGCCACAGTCATGAAGCAAACAAGAAACAGCAAGCAGTCCAAACGTGTTTTTTTTTTTTTTTTTTCATTTTACTGCAGAGCTGAGCTGGATATTTTGCACTCACTTAGCTTATGCGAAGTACACCGTTTCTAATTTCCTCTCTGGTTCTCTTCTCGGTATGTATAAGGCTTTGTCACATATAACTTCCTGCAAAATGTATGTTTTTCTCTATCCAAATCTATTCTTTGTACTTCCTTCCCAGTCAATGACGCAGTACTTGGGACTTAACTGTCCTTTATGGAAAGTACTAGGGAATCATCAGCACTCTAATGAATTTTGCCAATGTCCCTATTGCAAAGTGGTTGCATTATCAAGCAAAGGTGTTTGGGCTTATACCACAACCCCTGGGAAATATTACCCTGACCCAAAGCCATGAGTTTTGTCTCGACGGATGGGACAACCTTAACAACATTGGCAGGTGAGAAGAGGTGCACGAGCAGGTGAGTGAGGACACTCAGTCCAGAGTCAGCTGTCTACTACGTGGCCATCTGCCCCTAGCTTCATCTCTGTGATTTTACACATCCTTCCCACTTTTGCCTGCCTGTTACCCAAAGGAGAGCTCATCTGTGTCCTTCTCCACTGTCCAGACACTGATTTGCCGAAGTTGCAAATTTCTCCCCTTCTTCATAAGGTAGCTGAAACTGTCCAGCAGCAACAAAGTTGGTGGAGACGGCAAGCGGGGCCCCAGCCGGTGTCACTGTGTGTGCTTCGTTCCCGCAGGAATCAGGCAAAAAGAACCCTCACGTTACTGCAGGTGGTTATATTAATTTCACGAATAATAGAAAACACGGCAGCATTTATGTAAGCAGGAGTCTTCAGATGCCTGAAATCAACAGGAACACGGGTCCAACCACCAGGAACTGGGTGTTTAAATCAAAACCTTTCCCATGTCCCAGCAGACAGTGCTTCCAGAGGCACCTGTCTCCATGCTGTATGTGCTGGGATCCCAGGAACCTGGGAGCAACAAACGGGACAATTCCTTCGATTCCCTTTTCCCTTTCCCTGTACCTGCTTATGCATGAATCCACACCAGCAGGGACTGCCCAGCACATCTGTGGGCAGACACAAAACCAGGTTGGGGCCCCCCAGGTCCCCAGTCGCTGTCCCCCGGCTCAGCCCCACCGAGGCCGCCCTCCCCAGCCACCCTCCGCCTCATCTCTGAGGTA